TCAGCAGGACACTGCCTTTTTCCTCCTCAGGACACCATGAAGAAGCCGAGCAGGAAGACGAGCTGGCGGAAGAAGAGCGTGAGGATCTCCGACAACCAGCTGGAGTCCATCCTGCAGAGACGGCGCCGTATGGTGGATTCATCCACCGCAGCCCAGGGCTTCGCACCGGAGGCAACAGCAGAGCACAGAAAGGAGAGTCCGGAGCAAGGTGCAGTGACCCCATCTCAGTCCTCTCGTGCCCTGGTTCATGACCGGTCCCTCTGAGGGGTGGAGCGGGCAGTGGGTCCCAGCATGGCACGGGTGACTGGCAGTGGATACAGGATGTGGATGAGGCCTCCCTACTGCCTTGTGGCTTCCCTGTCCCTATTGGAAACTCCCTGTCTTGTACCTACCAGGATCTCACCTACCTTTTCCAGAACTACATCACACTGGCAGCTCAAACTCATTCCCTGCTGGCTTAATACACTCAGGGCTTTGTCCACCTCTGCTGTTTCTCAGCTCCTGGCGTTTAGCAGAAATGCATGTTAGCAGTCCCTAAGGGCATGTTACACTTTGCACCATTGAGTTTCATCTCAGTGTCAGCTACATCCCTCAAAGCCACTTCGTTCTTCCTCTGTGATATTCCGATCCTCCTGCATATTGCCGATGCCTCCTTGCTTTTTGTCATCAGCAAATGGCATTCGCAAACTCCCCGCTGATGACAACATAACATAAGGCTGGTCCCCCAGCCACCCCAGAATTACACAGTCCTCTGAAGTCCTGCCCTGTCTCTCAATGGGCTGTGGATGTCCTTCTGTTTTCAAAGGTGATGGTGCCCACCCCAGGCTCCGAAAAGAACAGACATGCGCTCCCGTGAAGACAGAGCTGGGTAGCAAGCTTTCAGGAAAGCAGGCAAACAGCTCCGTTAGCTGGAGCGGGTGATGCGCCGGCATGGAGAGGGTCAGTAAGAAATGGCTGCGACGTGGGGCAGAAAGCCCCAAGGTGGGAGCAGAAAGCAGAGCAACAGATCAGGCACAGGAAGGGGGTCGAAGCGGTGCTTGGGGAGGATACAGGGATCATTTGTGGCATGCCTGCCAAACCGGTTGCCCCACCATGTTACACTGTGGGTATGTATACACATGCATTTACTGCGCACTAACTTACTGCACAATAAGTTACTGCACACTAAGCGGCTTTCAGACCGGCGTCTGTGCATGTAGGTGTTACAGCGCAGTAACACTGTGCGCACCGACTTGGGAGTAAAGTTATTCCCAAGTCAGTCCACACAAACATTGTTACTGTGCAGTAAGGCGTCTACACGTGCCTTACTACACAGTAACTATTCAGAGTTCACCCAGGGCTTGGACATGTGCTTGGAGGAAAGGGGCATCCGTAGCTACCAGGCACGGGGGTGAGGGGTATGGCCTCAGAGTTAGAACTTCCTAGACTTTAAATACTGGAGGCTGAACAGGACCAAAACCCTAGTTGGCCCCCGTCATTCTCCCTTCCAGCCTCTGCCCTCTGCCCCGGTGTGACACGGGGGACTGGGCAAGACGGACTTAGGGTCTGACCCCAGGACATAGCAGCTCTTATTATGCTCTGTGCTGACGCTCTGAACTCTCCTGTCTTCCAGGTGGCACTGCCGTGCCCTGCTCCCGAAAAGGAGAGCATGGGACCCTCGGCTCTCGCACGCTGCGGCACCCTGCCGATGCAATGCCCTTAGCGCCCTGCTCCGCCTGCATCCTCCCCCTGCGATCATGCAACGGCTCAGGTCCTGCTCAGAGGCCAAGGATGGCTCCGAGATGCGTGCAGTCAGGGGAACATCCCATTCACCTGGGCATCCCGGCTTACTCCTTCGGTCTCTGGAGAGACTGGGTGATGCACTCAGAAATGGGGAGCCACAGCGGACAGTGGCACACGGTTTATCATGATCGTTGCTCCCGGGGGATCCAGTCTCTCTTCCCAGCACGTGGCTCCTCTCCCGCTGCTGCTGTTCTTTGCTCACGTGCACGGTAGGGAGGGGAGGTCATCCTCAGAGCACTATCTTTATTTTCCAAGCCTGAAGATAATTGCACATGCTTCCAAGGAGCACTGGGTTTCAGATAAAGAAGATTGCAGCCTGGAGGGGCACCGGATGGAGCACATTCAAATCTAACCCGCCGGGTCATTCGTAGGTCCAAAAGAGCTCACTTAGCCGTGTCGAGGCAGCTCCTCTTTGGGAAGACCTGTATTATGCTCAGAGATATGGCTGGAGCCCAGGTGAACCCACCTATGTTAGCTTTCAGCAGACTAGTTTGGATAGCAGTGGAGTTGCGGCAGCCTGGATTTAGCACAGTCTAGCCCCAGCCGCTAGCACGGGTCTGCTGCAAACGGCGGGCGTGTAGTTAGCTTTGAAACCCATGGCACGATGTTTTCCTTACTAGTGTCACCTGTACTGGCTAGTTTAAAGCTAGCTTGGGTATGCCTCCATATGCACCTCTGATTGCAGACTTGACGTGTCCCTACTCTGCCCACAAGACTTCTATGCAGAAAAATAATGGGAGAGGCCAAAGGGGGGAATTGTCCCCAAAGAAGGCACTTTGCCAAGATCTGGCACCCCTCAGAAATTAGGCAAGGTCAGACCAGAGCACAGACCCAGTGTTAGACCCCAAAGTGGAGCTGGGCTCCTCAGAGGAGCATCTCCCAGGGGATGCTAGCAGGACGTGGATGCCGGTCCGACTTGCAGTGGATGCTGCTGACTCTCAATGCAGAAGGATGAGTGGAGGTGATCATAGAAAGGGGGTTTTCCTGCAAAACAGCTGGCTGCAGCAGTGCGGGGGGGTTTCACATCCTATAGCAAGACACCCCTCATTGTATACATGAGCCCCGTGTCTTTTTAACTGGACAGTAAGTTAAATAAAGCGCCATAAAGAAACAGGAATTGAGTTTAGATGGAGGCATCTCGGTCTCTCTTATCCCTTCTCTGGCCTTCTTGAGCGTGCCCTCCTGCCTCTCTCCTAGGTTGGCGTGCTGCACGTCTACTCTTAGCCCAATGCCCTGAAGGTCCTACTGGACTTGAAGGCATGAGCTTGTGACCAGAGGTGAATACAATAACTGAAAGGGGCCTTCTTAAAATAAAGCACTGATCAATCTAAACAGCAGGGGAAAAGCCTAATTTAAAACAATAAAAGATCCATATATCTGACTCCTGTAATCCTAGGAAGGCTTATTTTACCCCAACCTCCAATCCTTTGGGGTCTGGGTGCCAGTTGGCCTGTCTGTCTGTCCCTCCTTCCTTCCTTCCTGTCTTTTTTAACCCAGTCTGAGGTCTTTCTTCTGATTTCCCTGAGTCTGGTCAGCGGGGTGCCAGAAGCGGACTCCAAAGCAGCTTGCTCTTGCATTGCTCCCAAAGCGTTTGCAAAGAAGTGACTCTCGGGATCCAACCCTCGGGGGTTTCCAGCAAACCTCCATCACAGCCTGCGTTGAACGGCACGGCGCAGCACTGGTAAAGGACTACAGGCAATTCCAGGTCCATTAAACGTAGACAGCACTTGACAGGTGTCCATGTCCTATGACCCCAGCTGACTTCCTGCACTTTGGGCGGGGGGCTGGACTCGATGATCTTCCGAGGTCCCTTCCAGCCCTAATGTCTATGAAATCTATGAAATCTATGTCTCTTGCTATGTCATAAATAAAACAGATATTGAGTGACGGTCCTGGTTCTCCACAAAGTCCTTGCAGAGTTGTATTTCAGCTCCTTACAGCCTCCTTCTGTGGTTTCTGACTCCCGTCTTCTCTCCCTGTAGGCCACTAAGTGATAGCAATGCCAAAACCTTGTTCCTCCATTACTTTGCTCATGCCAACCCCTGTCCAGGCTCTTCTTTGACCATCCGTGTCCAGCTCGCTCTGCCCAGACTCTGCATTAGGCATTGGTCTGTGTGGGCTCCTGCCTAGCCCCTGCCTCTCACTTCTGTGGCTGCTCTTCTGAAATCTCTAGGTCAGTGGTTTCAACCTTTTTTCATTTGCAAACCCCTAAACAATTGCAAAGGGAGGTGTGGAGCCCTTTGAATGGTAAGTGTGGATGTTCACATACTTTTTGATCCATCATAGTCATCTTTCGCGGACCCCTCGGACAAAGCCTGCAAGATCCCGAAGGGCCCGCAGACCACGGGTTGAAAGCCACTGCTTAGCTTCTGTCCTCGCTCCCTGCTTCTGGAGATGTCTTCCCTCTTTATTATACAATGGCATCTTTAAAAACATGCCTCTTTTTGAGGACTTTCAACCTTAATAGGTCCTCATAAAGGCAGTGAGTGCATCTACCAGAAGGTAAGCAGTGGTCCTCTCTGGAGCTGGGACTCAAGTTGCAGGAAGGGAAGACGAAGTTGGATATTAAGAAAAACTTTCTAACTGGGAGGGTGGTGAAGCACTGGAATGGGTCACCTAGAGATGTTGTAGGATCTCCATCCTTAAAGGCTTTTAAGACAAAACCTTGGTTGGGATGATGTAGTTGGGGCTGGTCCTGCTTGGAGCAGGGGGTTGGACTAGATGTGACCTCCTGAGGTCCCTTCAACCCTCATTGAGTCTACAACTCCTTTCTGGACCAAGGGTTGTTGGTTGTAGCCATGTTGGTCTAAGGCAAGGTTCTTTGGGTAGATGTGATACCTTTTATTAGCCCAGCTAAATAGTTGGAAAAAGTTTTTTGAACACTTTTGGGCACAAACACCCTTCTTTCTGGACCAAGAAGCCCACAGAAAAGTATCAAGGAATAGGCTGGCTGGATTCCCCTCTAACTGTCTATGCATGGAGCTGAATGAACATGTAAAGCAGCTGAAATCAGAGCGATTCACAGGTCAGGTCAAGGCAAGTCAGTGAAAATGGCCCAATCCCACAAAACCTTATGGGACGTGGCAGCATTGGCATTTTCCATCAGCGTAGGCCGCATCAAGGCAACTCGGAGGGCTGCTTAGCTGGGGAATGTCAGAGCACTTCCCACTGGGGAGGTATTTCCATTTGAAACAGATTCACAGTGAAGCCTGGCAGCTGGCAGCTGGGGAGAGGCTATGAACTGTCCCTTTTACCTCGAGCAAGCACAATGGAGAGGATCTGAAAGCCGGGGGCATGCCGACTGCTGCAGGCCCTATTAATGGGTGCTTTCTGCCCCGTGCGGGCTCGCGATGCGTATAGATGGAGAATGGCTGGGGTGTGCTCGTAGAGGTAAGGGCCATGTCTTCAAACAGCAATACATTCATCACGGACTGCAGTTTCCAAGGGGCTGCACTTGTTTGCAAATGCGGGCTGAATTCAGCAAACGCCCTGACCCAAAACAAGGGAAATGTTTTGACAACACCAGAATATTTCATGCTGACATTTTCAAAACCAGCGTTTCCCTCCACCTGGGATCTCGTGAGCATATAGTAGCAACCTTTTCCAGGAGCAGGATGTTGGCTGCTTTCCCTGTGGCAGGGTCGGGTGCGATGTCTGGGGCTGTGTCGGGCTTGACGGCACTTGTACAAAGAGTTTAGATGAGGGTTTGTCTGGGATGGTTTGGACAGGGCTGATCTTGCCTCGGGGCTAGATGTGGCTCTGGAGGTCCTTCTATGATGCTGGAAATCCCAAAACGTTGCAATCGGATATTTGTTTTAAATGGAACTTTTTGAGCTTCCCTTTCAAACAACTAAGAAAAACGGTGAAGCAAAAGGGAGAAAAAAACCCCACGACATAAAAACAAAACATTTAGTTTCAGCTCAGATGACACGTTTGGAAGGGACCTAGCACAAACTGGGGGTTGTTTCTTCAGTTTGCCAAAATCCTGAAAAATGTCTCTTTCATCTTCATCCGAAACAAGTTTTTTTACCAAACTTTTATTTTGAAAACAACATTATTTGTCCAGCTCTACTGCAGCGTGGATGCAGCTAATGTGACTTATGAGGTTCCTGATATGCCAAATGCAAGGCTATTAAAATGAACATGGGCATCTCACAACATGCAGATGCGGGCATGGAGACCAGGGTGCAGATAGGAAGAAGAGGGAAGATCATAGAGAAAAAGTAAAAAACCATGCAAATGATGCCCTGTAATTAGTACCCCTTGTAATTAGCAGGGGGTTGGACTAGATGTGGCCCCCTGAGGTCCCTTCCTACCCTCCTTGCCTGTGATTCTTTGATCCCATGGCCCCATCACTGCCACATCCGAGTACCTTCCAGCTGGGTGTTAAGCAACATAACTAGCATTGGTTTTCTGTGGTTGTCTCTCACTCACACGTCCCCATTTAAACCATGGCTAAGCCTGGCGTGATAACTCCCGTAGATCTCAGAGAGGTCGTTAGTCGAGTTAGTCTGAAGCCAAGCAGAAGGCAGGATCGATTTGTGCCCTAGAGACCACATAAATCAGAGATGGTTTTACATCTTCACACTCAGGGCCCTGGGGTGTAGCCTTGCCTTGTAACGGCACACAAAAACCTTGCTCATATCTAAAAGCCGTCCCGGTGCGTAGGAAAGCTCCAAGCAAGTTTGGGGCCAGCTTGTCTCGAGAACGACCTTTCTCACGGGAGTCGGTAAATGCAGCACGGGTACTTGACAGCGGCGCCCTGCTTCGGCAGCCGTGCGTAGGAACAGATGCGACCACCAAGAATGCACCTCCGGCTCCTGCTCCCAGCATGCCAACCACGCCAAAGTGCTCTGCTCTCAGCTGGTATAAAACTTTGATGATGTTTTCCTTGGGCCAACGATAGCGCCCTAAACCTCCACAGAGAGCAGCTGGTGAAGCTGATGGGAAATCAAACTGCATTAGGAGCTGCTGACACTAAAACTTTGTGCAGGGAGGATGCAGGGGGTGAAAATGCTTGTGTGGGAAGAGCTCAGCTTGCCGGCATGGCATGGGTGCACTCATTCCCTTCCTTAGACCCGCTCTGGGTCCTGCCAGGGGATGTTGGCCCGATGTAATCATGGCAGGCTCTGGTCTCACCCTCTGACCATTGCACCAAGCTGCAAGGACAAACTTTGCGTCTTTTAAAATGCACTGCAGTGTGGATGAAAGACCCCGGATGGGCAGCTGCAGAGCAGGAGGCCTCGTCCGTCCACCTAGACAGCCCTTTGTGCTTCCCTACCTGATGCCCGCAGTCAGAGCAGCCTGTCTCCTCACAGCTTTGGTTTTGCTAGGCGAAAAAAAAGCCATGCTGTTTTAGCACCTGTGCATTCTGCATTGCATGCTGCGACTGCAATTCATGTAGAAACGCCCGCACGAGCCAGCTCAGGTACCAACCGCTCCATAACTGCAGTACCGCATGGTTCGGCACAGGCTAGACGAAGCCTCTTGGTACCAAACCATGCCGTGTCTACCTGGGAAGTTGCACCAAGTTACGTAGCTTCTGCTGCTCGCTCAAGCTGCAGACCCAGCTGTGGACATACTCTTGGTCTTTCCTCTTATTATCCACCTTAAAGGTCATCTCTGCCCCTGCTCCAGTCGAAATTCATCTTTCTTGAATGTGGGTGGCCAAAACTGCACAGAAGAGGGTCTTAGGCATGTACATGGTCTTGTACATGGAAACAGCCCCCCAAGGATTGTATTTGCCCTTCTCACAGCCTCATCTGACTGGCAGATAATGGTCATCCTGCCATGCACTAATGCACTCCAGTCTCTCTCTGTAATTTCCAAGTTGTGAGCGCCCAGCTTCCAACAGAGACTCTTTTGATCTATCTCTAAATGCCTGACCTTGCATTGCAAATGCAGCCCACTCAAATCCTCTAGGCTGGGAGGTCAGGCAGTCCCTCCCATATGATAGTTGGGTTTGCACTGGATGGTCCTACCCTGACTCCAAGAAGGGTGCAGATGACAGTCGTCCTTGCCTACGCATGGGATTTAGATTGGTGCAGCCAGTGATGGATCCCAGTCACGGACAAGACCTGAAGACTTGTCTTTACCCATTGAACATGGAGCGTGGCAATGTGGGTGCCTCGGATCTACTCATCGGTGGCTCTTGCCTGCACTCCGTCGTCCTGCAATGCATTCAGCCATGGTTTTTCAAATAGTCCTGACCAAGGGTAAACCCCCGAGGTCCAAAAGTTGTCAACCTCCATTCAACTTGGCCTCCTGGAAGTAGACAGAGACTCACCACCTCCCTTTGGCTACCCCCGCCATGATCCAGTTTTATAGCAGCAAATTAGACCTGACAGGCATCCCATGGACCAAATCCTCCAGTAAAGCCAGAGGGACTCACTCAGCCTCTTATCCCAAATTACACTCCCTATAAACGTAGAGCCAGCTGGGAGTGATGCAGGCCCCTGGACGACTAAAGCTGAGGTTTGTGGTCAGGGGTGATTTAGGAGTACCAATAACTGTCCCCTCTCGCTACACTGCCCAGTACCGAGTGCATGCCCCTGTCATGCATGTGCATTTTCGCAGACCTGCATTTTGCATATTGGCTTACATTTCTAGTGCACCCAGGAGAGTGTGCAAACACCAGCAGACTCTCCCTGTGCCCGAAGAAGGGTGTTTGTGCCCGAAAGCTTGCAAACAACAATGTTCCCAATGCAACGATGTAGTTGGTCTAATAAAAGATATCACATTTTACCTGGTCTGCCTATGTCCTTAGACCAACACGGCTATCACCAACACCCCTGAGATCAAAGATACCACATCTGCCCAATGAACCTTGTCTGCCTAAGTCTTTAGACCAACACAGCTATCACCAACACCCCCGAGTTCATGCCTGAGTATTGCACACCCCAATTCCCAAATAGCTGGGTCTGTCAGCGTGTCTTTCCCAGCTCTGGGCTCTTAAGATGGGCAGCTCATTGTGGGAAACCTCATCGTCAGCAAGCCTTTGCCATGAGGGGTCTGCCTCCAATAAGGGAGCCCCACATCTGCCCCCCACATGTGCAGAGCCTCAAGGGAAAGTGGCCCCCACATGGCCACCCCCACAATGATGGGGGACCCTGTGTGACTGACCCCCCC